GGGTAACATTATCTGTGTCTGAGTGTTATCTGGATATTTGCATATGACCATAGATTTCAGCTGATAATCAAAAGGATTCTCATTATCTCGACCGTTTCCAAATCGTGAGCAAATATCAGTGTGGGAGTTAGAACACTAAACTCTTGAGGATTCGCTGTGATGTAAAAATCAAGCGGCACTCGTAAAATATGTGTGATGTTGCTCACTTATAACAAGATTAGGGCTTGTTAGCAAACCCAGTTCAACCACAACCTGCTTTATGGCCTCTGCTCATTTTTGTTTTACTCATCTGCAGCTTTTTCATGGGCAGCTTGTAACGGCACAAAGAGAGTGTGGGAACGTCATAACAAGCACCCTCTTTTCCACTTTACACCTTTATTAGAAAAGCATTTTCACAATATAAGCATGTGTAAGTTACAAAGTTAAACCAGTGTACTTTATTAAAGTAGCCCATTATTATAGCTTATATTGTTCTGGGTTTGCCAATACTATTTGAGACAAGTGTTTAATATTTAAGGCTTTGTTATAGTTTTAAAGACTGCAGTCAGTGGTGCTGTTGCATTGTACTAAATCACAGTGTGAGGTGTTTGTGATATTGATGGGTATATTTTTTATTTTGCTGATTAGGGTTCAGGGAACAGTGGTGCTCCTGATTTATTAAACTGTTTCATTCTGTCACTTCCTTTCAATCAGCTTCGAAGTTGATGGTCGTTACAGTGATTGCTATTCATCTCATCAAATCTATCATTGCTTGTGTTACACACAAACTAACACACATTGTTACTCAAATAAGCTGCAATTTTAACTCAGCCTATTACTCATAAATGCCTTGTAGCCATTAGTTGGTTTTTGATGAACGGGAGGGGGCACAGAGAGATATTAGTGAAGGGCGAAGCTGTTGTCCACATACAGTAATTAGGAATGTGACTTTGTTTTGTTTATTCTCCCTCCCTGTGCACACACACATGAAAGGAGGAAAAAGTTTGTGAGACATATTCTCTGAAGCCCTGTTCAAGTCCAGGCCGAACGCTCTCTGCTTTTAAGTGATTATGTAGAACATTGCCTTTGGATTCGTGCGTGTTGCGTGTTTCTGTGGGCTCTGCTATATTTTTGGCTTTAGCAAATTAGAGCTGTGAACAACTGTCCTGTAGAAAGAAAGGTAGATGATGTGGAAATGAGGGGAAGTGCCCCTCTAGCAGGATGTATTTAATGCCAAGGCTGACCTTCACGTAGACATATTAAACAACAATGCTTTAACTGTCAGTGTTGTGTTTCTGTGTGTGCACTATGGAAAAAAAATACAATTTGACCAAACACTGCGCACAAAAGAACAGCTTAAAAATAATGAAAACGGGATGCTTCATTATTTAGTTTTGTTTATATTTATTCCAGGACAAACCATATTCTCTGCATTTCAGTCAGGATTGTTGCATGTTCATTCTCATTCCTTGTGCAGTTTTCCTGATTGTGATCAAGATTTTCCAATTTTTTTTCCCCCTATTCTAAAAGTTTTGATATAGATTGTGTATGGTGTATATATGATACTGCTTCCTAAAGCCTTGAACATACTGGAAGTGAATTGTGGTGATGTTGCAACCAAAGTTTATAGAAAGTGAATAATATTTGCCGACTTCAAGTGACTACAGGTGAAATAACTGCTGCCAATGCAAAGTGGGCAGGACCTGCAGTAAACTTTAAGGCGAGCACCTGAAGAAACTACTAAAGTAAAGAATACTGTTGATTGACATATAACCTCCGAGTAAAGACATTAGAGGGTCACCTAGGCAACCAGAGCTGAGAATATCACAAGTGGCAGATTCAAAGTGATACGCGGCAAACAAATCACTTCCAGTGTGTACACGGCTTAGATGTCAGCCTTGTACCCTCGATGCTTGAGTTCTCAATCACCTGAAAATGCTTTCATGTGTCATTTTGGTTGGGGTGTTGCTGGGCAACCTTAGCTTCATACGCCACACAACATCTATATCCTCTTGTCCTTGTCTCGTGTGGAGACAGATGCTTTGTTTTATATTAGTGTAGATTTTCTCATAATTCTTCATTTCCCGAGGGAAGATTTACACCTCCTCCGTGACATCCTCTTATAAGGCACAAATCCTTGTACTGTTGTGGAAAATGTTATATTTGATGAAATTCGGGCAACATACCGATTGAGCAGTCACTTCCAGCTCCATCACTCATAATAGCGTGTTTGTGTATGAATTTGTCATCTAATATTGTCTCCATTTTTGTGCTTTTGGTGTACTTCCTCTGACCCTCACCTCAGCAATCATGAGATAAGATAACCTTTATTAGTCCCACACGTGGGAAATTTGTTCAATCAACATTTTGCCTGTATAAAGCTCGGCAGCTAGAGCGTAAATATAAAAAAATCTGGCTTAACTGTTGATTCACAAATCTATAAATACCACATACTTCAGTATAAAGACTCCATCAGCAAGGCCAAACAAAGCTTCTACTCTGGTATTATCAGTTCTTATGAGGGTACAAGGACTCTGTTTTCAGTTCTCAACAAACTAATTCAACCCCCAACGCTTTACCACCACACATCTATTCCTCTGAAACCTGCAACTCCTTGATGCTGTTCTGGACTACGAAAATCAATAAACATCCACCAGCAACTCAGATCAAATGTTGTGTCTACGCCCTCTCCAGAACCTTTTCTCCTTTTTGAGCCGTTTTCCACTTTTCATCTTCCTGATTTATCTGATATTTCCGAGTTCATATGTAAATCAAAGCCTGCCACATGTCATCTTGACCCCATGCCCACGGGGCTTGTGAAATCCTGCCTCTCTTCCTTACTCCCACTCATTTCTGCTATCATTCACTCTTCTCTCACCACCAGTATCGTTCCCTCCTTATTCAAGACTGCTCTAGTCACTCCTATACTGAAAAAAACCTTCTTTAGATCCTAACAACTTTAACAACCTCCGTCCGATTTCCAATTTAACCTTCATTTCTAAGATACTCGAAAAAGTGGTTGCAGCTCAACTTCATTTACACCTGGTTAATAATAATAGTATCTACGAGAGATTTCAATCTGGTTTTTGCTCATGTCACAGTACAGAAACTGCTTTACTTAAAGTCACTAACGATCTTCTAATCTGAGCTGACTCTGGTCTTCTCACCATTCTCGTCCTTTTAGATCTGAGCTCAGCCTTCGACACCATTTCTCACTCTGTACTTCCAAGCAGACTTTCCTCTCTCGGCATCTCTGACACACCCCTCGCCTGGTTTCAATCATATCTCCTCGACCGTTCCCAGTTTATTCAACTAAGATCATCCCACTCTCGTCTATTCCCCATCTCCTCTGGTGTACCTCAAGGCTCAGTTTTAGGCCCTCTTCTCTTCATAATATACATCCTCCCTCTAGGTACCATTTTCCGCAAATTTGATCTTCAGTTTCACTGTTTTGCTGATGACACCCAGTTATATCTCTCTTGCAAACCTGATTCCTCCCTCCCACCTTCCTCCCTTACAGAATGTCTAACCAAGTTAAAATCCTGGTTTACCTCTAATTTTCTAAAGCTCAATGAGGATAAAACTGAGATCCTCCTTATTGGCACCAAATCCAACCTTTTGAAGGCAAACCATTTCTCACTCACCATCGATAACTCCACAGTTTTCCCTTCTCCTCAGGTTAAGAGCCTTGGTGTCATCAAGACAGTTCACTTTCCTATAAATCTCACATCAATAATCTCACCCGTTCTGCCTACTTCCATCTACGCAACATTAACAGATTGCTTCCTCCTCTTTCCACCCAGTCTACGTCCATTCTTGTACATAGTCTTGTTACCTCCCGTATTGACTACTGCAATTCTCTTCTGCATGGTCTCCCCCAAAAATCCCTCCATAAGCTTCAACTGGTTCAGAACTCTCCTGCTCGCATTATCACCAGAACCCCCTCCTACCAGCACATCACCCCTGTTCTTCAGGAACTTCACTGGCTCCCTGTGAAATTCCAGATAATATTCAAACTTCTTCTGCTCACCTTCAAGGCCCTTCATAACCTCGCTCCTCCTTACCTTTCTGACCTGTTAACCACTACCTGTTCTGCCCGTTCACTTTGATCTTCTTCTTCTATCCAGCTTGCTGTACCTTCCTTCCGCCTCACCACCACGGGAAGCAGAGCTTTCAGCTGCTCTGCTCCCAGGCTGTGGAGCTCTCTGCCCCCAAAAGTGTTTTATCCTACTGTAAAGTGTCCTTGGGTGACTTGAAAGGCCCTCATAAATAAAATTTATTATTATTATTATTATAATGTTTGATACCGAGCAATTTTTTGATTTTAAACATAGTGTTTGAATAAAAACAGGAACTGATAGAAGTTCAGCAGCACAATATTTTATCATTTAGACGCACCAAACTGCAAACAATAATAGTATTTTACCAAAAGCAATATAGATGCTGTCAAACCATATCCATCTGAAAAACCAAAGGAAAGCACAAAGCAGAAATGTATTATTAATTCCACTGCTTATTCCCTAGTGCAGTGAATGTAGCACCTGTTGTATTCCACCTTGTGTAAGCAAAGGTGATTTACAATTACACTGGTTCATGCTCATAAAAGCAGCCGTGGAACATGTTTACGTGCACGTGCAAAATGACAACATGTCACAGTAGACCGACTTGCTCCAAATAGGGAGATAAGGTGCACAGATGTGTAGTGACAGTGTCATAACTGTGCATATCATAAGAGGGAGAACCAAGCTGAAACCTTTATAGATTCATATTGAAATACATAATAATTGACAACTCAAGGGAAACATTAGGCTCATGAAAAATCTAATCGCAGCTCGTTATCATTCTATAGATATATATTTAATTGCTAAATTGATGCCTTTGGTGTGAAATAAATCCACTTTTAAATTAGACCCTTCGGTGTGCCGCCAAATGTCTCTACTTCAGTGATATTTTTATAGTCTGAGGTCTCTGTATCATCATCAATAAATCGTAAGTCATCACTTCTCTCTGTCTTCGCTTAGGTGTTCACCAGATATGGGAAGTGCTATATGTTCAACGCAGCAGAGGAGGGGAAGACGCTGCGCACCACCATGAAGGGAGGGACTGGAAATGGCCTGGAGATCATGCTCGACATCCAGCAAGATGAATACCTGCCTGTATGGGGTGACACAGGTAGGCCTGGAAACATGCTCACCATGATGTTCAAAAATAAGTTCATTACTGATTGATTTCCCTTTCAGTACCAGGTTAAAAACAAGACCACTATAGTTAAACGGGGCGATTTCAAATGAAGGATTCATTTTGTTCTCTGCTTTTTTTCTTCACTTGTAGCTTTTTGCTTGATTATATGATCCATGCAACAGCAATATTTAGTTACTTTGACTGATTTGTACCTCTTTCCTTGATGTGATTGCATCCAGGATGCCGTATGAACTCGTGCAACACTTGCACTTTAGATTCATCCACCTATGAGTCAGTCATTCCTGGTTTTGGTAAAAGCTTGTTTTCGTGTTCTTTTTGTCAATACCTCAAAAACTGTGTTGTTCTAAGCTTCAGCGTTAGCATGCAATATTTCATAAAATGCATTTTACACAGCTTACAAAACATTATTCTATTCCACATAAAACAAGTGGATTTCTTGAGAGTCCACTTGTTTCAGTCAACTCTCAAAGTTATTTCTTTCTTTCCATCGTTTATTTATTTGTCTGTCTGTGTTATGGGGATATTTTAACTGATCTCTTGCAAAGTGAATTTCAGACGGTAAAAATCATTGCAATGTTTAAAAAGCTATTTCCCTAGTTGTAGCCCAAACTGATCCTTTGGACTGATGGTATTTTTTTTATTCACTTTATTTACTTTAGACATAATAAATAAAAAAGCAATTTGTGGGTTTTTTTGTTTCTCCTGATGAAATCTCTTTAGGGACAGATTCATACCGAGAAATTCCAAATCAAAGTTTTAGAAAACTGAATGTGAAATTTTAAAATGCATGAGATGACAGTCATCAGTTTTTTTTCAATCCAAACAACTATAAATCTCTTCTTGTTTATACTTGTAAATCAGATGAAAAATGTTATTACCATTCCTGTCTTTTTAAAAAGTAAAAAGTATTGCACTGTATTGAGCTCAATACCCAAGGATTTAATTGAATAGAAGACTTATTTATATCGCTTTTCTAGCCCACATCAAGCACTTCTTGTTGCACGACTGCTGTTGTATTCTCTTTGAGAAAGGCTCTAAGCAAATTTCTCAGGATATTTTCATTTGATGCATCTTCATTTATGCTCAACTGTGGGCATATTTTTCCTTTCAGAATGTAGACGTCTTACAGATCATAATACATATTCAAACTCTTTTCAACTCAAACACTGAAACCTCTCGAATTTATTTTGTAAAATAGTGGAGCTTTAAATTATCCTATTTAGTGAGATACATGTAAATATCTTATTTTTGATGCAGGGTGACTGTTTAAGGGAGGCTTGTTTTGTAAGCAGTGCCATATTGTAGCACATTGAATGACCAGCTCACGGCTAAAACAAGTGGAAGGGTAGACAGGGGAGTTCACAGCAGCTAGCCAAGCAATGCACAGCTCTGCAGATGGGCATTAGTTTTGGATATTAAAAAACTATCATCAGAAACTCCACGTCCTCTTACTCCTTATCTCGTTCTATTTACACTGGGTTTTGTAGGATTCCACCTAAACCTCCTTTAGGTTTTAATTCAGTTTGAACATGCTGTACTTCTGCCACCACCCTGACAGCATGTGGAACTCCTTCTCCCAGCAGGCTCCAGTTTTCAGTGCCCTTGTTTATCCCCTTGTGGTTTAATTAGCCTGGATGCACTGAGTCAGCCTCAGCATGGAGCATGCTGCTTCCTCAACTGAGCCAGGTCTCTGTGCTGTCCAGACATGATGGCAACATGCTGCACAGGCCCTAATTCCACATCTCCTCCCACCAGTTATCTTTTTCTCCATCCAGACAACCCACCTTCTTTCCTCCCATGGCTTCCCCTACTGTCCATCATCCAGAAGTGCAGCAGTTGGGTCTCTGGGGTTCTATTAGCACACTACAGTATCCAGGATGCTGCAGGGCAACCATGATACTCCTCACTTTATCATGACGGACAAACATCGCAAGAAATGTGTTTCATTCTGTGAAAAATGAACAAGACAGATATAACTTTGAGAGGTGGGAGAAAACAGATGGCCTGTTGCCTGGAAACGCAGCTTTCTTCTCGCCATGTTACTGACCAAACTGCTCAGTGAAGGAAATCATAAATGGACAGGATCTGTCTGTTTTTCCTATCCATACTGCTGCCTGCAAAATGAGTCCTCAGCCAGACTTTAAATAGTTAAATTCTCACCAGGAAATTAATTAGAGTAATTAGGACACCATTGTGGTTCATGATCAAGCATTTTTTGTTCTTTCTTCTTATATTCAGTGGGTAAAGTAAGTATGGATCACTGGTTTTCAAAGTAAATAGATTTCTTAATATGCAGTTGACATGAAATTCTCACCAGATGTTGGTAACAACCCATCCAATCCACACATGGAAAGAAAATATCAAACCATAAATGTGGATAAATTCAGTTTTGTAACACAGGGAAAAAGTATTGAAAATATGAAGAAGGGAGGTGCAGGAAGGCATGGAAGCTCATGACACCAGCTAAAATCTATCAGTGATAGATTTTAGCTGGTGTGAAATCTATCAATGCTTACACTTAGTGCAAATTAATACCAGCTGGTTTAGTCCCACCTGATGGCATATAAAAAGGTGTCTCATTACCAAGGTGTCACACAAGAAACACATCAGGATGGATAAAACCAAGCTCACTCAAGACTTTTGCAACCTTATTGCTGCAAAACACGCTGATGGCATTGGTTACAGCAAGAATTTCTATTGAAGGTTCCAATGAGCACTGCTGGAGCCATAATCAGGAAGTGGAAAGAAGATCATTTCGCCATGATCAGATGACTAAATGCACTGAGTCGCAATGGCTTAGTGCATTTGAAGAAAAGGGATGTTGAAGCATGTTTGCTGAACAACAATTAGAAAGACCTGTGAAATACTGGGAAATGTAGTCTGGTCCCAGGACCAGACCAAACATGAGCTCGTTGGATGCCATAATACAAGACCATGTTTGGAGGTAAAAAGGCATCATATTTCCCCCCCAAAAACACCATACCAACAGTGAAGGTTAGAGGTGAAAACATTATGGTGTGGGGATGTTTATCACATGGCCCTGGCACACTTTATATATTTGAAGGAATCTTCTACCATCTACCAGGATGATGAAGATTAAATCAGGGTGGGTGATTCAGCAAGACAATGATCCCAAACACACAGCCAAGGAAACTGTGAATTGGTTTCAGAGCAAGAAAATAAGTCTGCAAGATTGGCCTGAACTGAATCTAATTGAAAGTCTTTGGAAAGAACTGAAGCTCACAGTTCATAGAAGGAGCCCACAGAACCTTCGGGATTTAAAGACTGCTTGTATGGAAGAATGGGCTAAAATCAGACCTGGACAATGCATGCCATTAGTTTTAACATATAGGACCTGTCTTGAAGCTGTCATTGCAACAAATGCTTGTGTATAAGGTGTTAAATACATTTCAGTAAGCGTGCTCAAAGCTTTTTCCCTGTGTCATTTCTTCTTATTACAAATAATTTATGGCTTGATTTTGTTGCATGTGTGGACTGGGTGGGCTGTTACCAACGTCCGGTGAGAATTTCATGTCAATAGCATCTTAAGAAATATATTTAGAAAGCTGATGACGTCATCAGTACTTATTTTACCTGCTGCTTAACTGCTGCTCGAAAGAGTTTCCACAGAAAACTGTTATATGGTCGGAGTTTTCAGCCAAGCTTTTTTATATTTTTATTTTATACTGGATGGGGGCTTATAAGAACACATGCATAAGGACAAACTGCTTTTAGAAAGAAAACATGTGCAGGACCTTCTTTTAAGCAAGCCAGAAACTGAAGCACAGCCCCGTCAGAGCAAATCTGAGTGCCAGGACATCATCTTCTACTGGGTCATCTGATAAACATTTTACCCATCTAATTGGCAAATCTCATACAGAGTATGCTATTTAGGCTTGTTTGGCATGCATACAGTACCTGTACATCAGTGAGCAAATTTGTCAGCTCAAATTCATGCCAGCTCCTCTTTTGCAGTTGTGTATGACCTGATACATATTTGCTGTTATCTATATCAGTCTACGTATTTGATAGTTTGAAAACCATTTTGTCATTGCAGTTGAAACGATTTAAAAATCATATAAGTAATCATAGTATATAATAATTTATCTTGCATATTGTTATTATAATGTGGCAGCTGTCTTTCTGCCAGACAGGCAGGCTGTACTGTAGAGAGTTATTGCATGTGGTAGAGTGGAAAAGGAAGAGGATCTAAAATCCTTGAGGGGTGCCATATTCAATGTAAGGAGGGAAGGAACTGGATTATTAAGTAAATATTTTTGCTTTGGCTGTTTTAAGAGCGCTCTAGTACTACATTAAACCTCTGAAAATTTCATAATACCTAGAGTTCATCCGTTTTTCCATTTAAAGTCAGCAAGCAGTCTTTATGCACTCAGCACCCCGTCCATTCAATAGCACAACAGTGTTTGTAGAATAATGAAAAGCCCCTCAGACACATTACAGGCAAAGCCGCAAACTGTGATGACACTGAAGTCCAGTCCTTTCTTATATCAGATATATTTGTGTTTTCATCATCATCACAGAGGATTTCTTTAAAGATAAAGTCAGCCCTTCTGTAAAAAAAATAGGCTGTTCTAAACAGCCAGTTGTATTGTGCCCTGGTTGAAGGGATGCAGATTGTAAGAGATATGCAAAGAATCACAGTCAGGAGTTTCTGTCTTCTTCTGTTGTCTATTTTCCCTCTGTTTGCCATTCATCTTATCAGATTTTAGCTTCCATCATATGTGGCAAACAGGAAAGTGCAACCCAAACAAGCCTCAGAGTCCGCCGTTAAAATCGTGCCTTGTCTGTACATTTTCTGTCTGCCGTTAGGAAATGAAAGCGATGGTGAAAACACTGAGAAAGGGAGCAGTTTTTTTTTTCAGCAGCAGGTTAAGCCAAGTGCAAGTGGAATTGGAAAGTCCTTGATCCTTTTATCTTTACTTTTTGTATCTTTTCCTTTTGTGATGTCA